GTCACTAACAAGGTCCCATTTGGCTTTCTCCCATAGTTGAAAGTTTGATGATTACCCCCTTCTTGCCTGTTGTAGCATTTGGACGACCATTACCCAAATTAACTCCGCAGTAAGTATAAAGGATCCCCCCCCCCTTCTCAGGTAGCCTGCACTTTACCTTCTTTTTAGACCTCATGAAGGCCTAGATAATAAGGTAGAACAGGTGGCTTAGGGATAGCCATGGCTCTTTGACAGAAGTGAGGCTATCTGGGCAACTAGCATTGGAGTGATAAAATAATTAGAAGGATTGCTTTTTGAGTTAGAAAGAGATTATTTAGTCACTTTAATAGCACACTGTTTCTCTGGCTTTGGGACAGCAAAGACATTCTAAATTTAGAACTTGAGAGTCAGGGTTAGGAGTGGTGAGGGGCATAGTATCTTTTTTAGAGTTAATCTTTGGTCCACACTGAATCCCTTCTAGTCTTCCAAGTTGATTTCCTTACCTTTTTTTTGCCAGGAATTTTGAGCTGCCCTGGTTGGATGAGCGTAGCCGATGCAGGTTGGAGATCCAGAAGAAGCAAACACCTCACCGGACGTGTAGGAAATAGCTGAACTGGCAAGAACCTCTGTCTTCAGATAGTTGTAGCACGCCATTTCCCAGAGAATGGCAGAGACCTGTATGTGTGACCTATGTCCTCATGTATGTTATTGTTCGCTGATAATGCCCTTCCATACTCCCTTGATCCTGTTTTGTTTTCATCACTCTGATTTCGCAAAAACTCTTTCATTGGGCTAATTGTGAATTATGGAGGGTGATTGGGATTTCTTTTCCCTTTTTGGGGAAATGAGCTCTCAAGCTAAATCTATAGGATGGCAGATCCAGAAGCCTCAGGGGTCTGCTTCTCTACATTTGCCTACGTTAAAGGGGTAAAAGGGCTCTCTTCGTTAGACTTGTGGAAGATGAAGCAACCCCTGCCTATAGAGTCGTGCCTGCATGGCACTCTTCTCGCCCTGGTATACCCTTTCCTTAGAGTTTGAGTATAGTGGTGTTTACCCTAAAACAAAACAAACAAAAAACCTCACCATGAGCTTAAGGACCAGATGAGGAATAAAAAGTGAAGTGATGAAGCAAGTCATCTTCACAGGGTAGAAAAGAGATTGAAAAGTTGGCAGATAAATGTCTGAAAAGACAGTTGTTCTCTTAAAACTATTCTGTGATACAGCCATGTGGGAAGGAATTTGTGCTGTGATTATTTTCTTAGTTAATGGATAACTGAATTTCTTCCCCCATTCCTCAAGAAATAAAATCCTTAGAAAAGAGAATGGGGATGGTTAGTTTTGGGCAAGTTATGACTCTAAACAAAAGCAGTTGACATTTGAGAATGGCATGCCAGAACCTGTGTAGATGTCCTTGTGTCACATCACTTCTCAAGTATTCCTTAGTTGGGCTTTATTCTTTTAGCTGAGCTCTCGGTGGTGGGATAGAGATTTAGGGAGGGTGGGGGGTGTATGTGGAAATATGTGCTTCCTTTGGCTGGCAAATGTCTACATCTTGAAACAAACGGATGTACCTAATGAGCTTCTCCATTCACTTTGTAAAAATAGATTTGTATGTGTATCATCTTGGTCCCCCTTTCCCCCCATTTTGTTAAAAAATTTCAGGACAGCACTCCAGGCCACTTTGGTCTCAGTGTAAGATCCCTGTAACTATCTGGAAGGAAAATAGAGCCAAGACCTCTGGTCTTAAATATATAGGAATTGCCTTTCTTTAGTCTTCATGACTATTGTGTGAAAACAAGTAGGGGTCTAATCTCCTAGAAGGTAGGGGCTTTTATCCTTGAAGAGAATATGTCCCCAGATTATTAGCACTTTTAGAGGAGAAGCCAAGGTATGTAGGGTGTGTGGCCGGCCCATCAATGGAGCATGAGAGAATGGGGATACCATTGTGGGAAGAAAAGAAAAGTTCCTCAGGGGCCTCCCACTGCTAAAGATTTTTGTGACATGTTGATCTGTGCTCCCTGGGTTTGACTTTTGAAGGAATTATTCCGGCAGCACATGTAGTATTCTTGGATGATCTTGCTGCTTTTATTTCTCCGTGTGTGTGTGTGTGTGTGTGTGTGTGTGTGTGTGTGTGTGTGTGGCTATGGGTTTTCATTTGTAACTCCATCTGCTTAGGAGAGTGGGCTCTCCACAAGGGAACCTGCTGTGAACTTCATTGCAGCAAGAGTGTAGAGAGAAATAGGACTTATTCCACTAGGGGCTCTCATCTCACACCTTAAGGGGAGGAAGGAGATTTCTAGAAAAACTGGGCCAGATTTTCTTTGTTCTCCATCATTTTAAATGGCAAGCTGTTTGGCTTTCCTACTCTGACCTATGTTATGTTCCTTTATAATGTGCCCAAGAAGAAAAAAGACTGATCAGTGTCTCTTTATGTTGTTCCTTGATTCCTCTGTTTCTTCTTGATTTTCAGCATTTGTCGGATTCCTAATTTGGATATGGGTTAGCAAATATAACCTTTGTGTTTGTGCCCTACCCAGGGGACTCCCCAGATTCTGAACTTGAGCTAGACTAAGAGGAATCCATGAGGTGCTATCTGGCCAGACTTAAGTGGATTCTATTTCCTTGGTTCTCCCTCTACCTAGGACTGCTCATTTTATTGTCCCCTCTTCTAGATCAGTTCTCCTTTGATTTGGATGTGTTGAGGTTTGTTGAGGAGGTTGGAGAGTAGATTAGCAAAATTCCAAGAGCGAAATTACAGTGTGTTAGGGTGTGGGGGGAAAATTAAGTCTTATTTTTTCCCTACATGGGATACAACACTGTGAAATTCAATCTTCAACAAAGGCCCTGCAATTCTCCTAAAGCATAGTTCTTTGTTTCTTTCTTTAACAAAGTTAAGCTAGTGTTAATAAATTAAAAAGAGAAATTGCTTGTCTGTCCACTTCAGCTTTGTTTTATGCCCATTTCATATTGTTGTCTGTGTTGTAATTCATACTTTTGATACCATTTCTGATGTGTAAAATTGGTTGTCTTGTAAATATCTTATAAAGAGTTCAATTGTAAATAAACTATTGTGGCTGTTAATTTTTGAACTTCTGCTTCAATTTATTAGATTTATTGGGAAGCATTAAACAGTTCTGTAGATATTGGAAGATTAGAAATAGAAATCCATTTTCACAAAATAGAGAAATACACCATTTTCTCTTTTGTGTATGAGCACAACGTATGTTTTTCATCCCTCTTTGTTCTGTGTTCTCCCTTACACATACAGTTAAGTGGCAACTTTAAAAACCAAATCCTAGGACAGGATACTTGGTGCCTGGTGTCTAAATGAATAAAACCTCATAGTTGAAAAGACTTTAGAGGTCATCTAGTCTGACCCCTAATACATGATTTCCCCTTGACAACATTCCAGACAAATGAAGTCCAGCTTCTGCTTCAACGCTTCATTTTTTTCTATGCATTTTTCCCTAAATGTTAGAAAATCCTTCCTCACTGATAAAATCTAACTTCTTGTAACTCCAACCCATTGGTTCTTGGTTTGCCTTACAGGGTGATGAAAAAAGATCAATTCTTCCTGTTTCTCATTGTCTCTTGAATAGTTAGATTGCTGTGGCTATCTCAAATCTTCTCTTCAGGGTAAACATTCAGAGAGCTTACACTTGTTCCTCAAAAGCGAGGATTTTGAGTTTTTCAGTTCCTTCTGAGTGAACAAGTTGCTCATGTTCATTTAAAAATTGAACCCAGACCAAACAGCTGAAAGGTAAAGTGGCAGATAATCACTTTCCTTATTTAGACACTTAACTTGGCAGCTTCATTTGCATCAATTTACCTTCTGATAGAAAAGATCCTCCAGATCTTTCTAACACTTATGAAATCATACATCCTCCATTTTGAACTCAGGCAGCTGGGTTTTGAAGTTGTCAAATTTGGCCACTTGTTTAACCAGTTGAGATCTTTTTGGATCCTGAATCTATCTATGAAGGCATTCAGAATGCCTTCTAGTTTCATATTGTCTATAAATTTGGTCAACATCAGATCTTTAGCCATATAACTTGTAAAAATACTAGACAGGACAGAATCCTGTGCAATCCTGTCCTGTGCCATGCAATAGTGACCTTTCTCTGTTTGATATATATTATTAATGTGCACTCCTGTAGGTACACTAATAACTTAGCTTATGCATTTTGAATGTACATCTTATGGTCCAAAGAAAATATACCTTTTCTTTTCTTTTTTTTTTTATTGTTGACAATTAAGGCTTTTGACAAAGTCTTGACAAAATCAAAGCATTCCCCTCATCTACCTGTCTGGTAACCCTTAAAAAGGGAATCATGTCAGGATATTGGACCAACGCTGGTTCCTATGATCATCTTTTTTTTAAAATCGGTTCCAAAATCTTGGTTAAGTCTAGCATCATACCAGCCTGCACTCTGGGAGAAGTGATAGCTGCAGTGGGAAGATGCAAGAAGGAAGAGGACATGAGAAAACAGAAAAAACATGGTAGCGCTGCAACACTAAGTCCTCGAGCTTCACTGCAGACAACTTCCTCCTTCATCTTTAGTTTCAAATGGGCTGCTGTGGCAAATCTGATGCAGCACAACAGCTTTGGAGGTTTACCTTGACTCGTGATTTTACCAAGCAAACGAACGCAGTAAAATGATCGGCTTCAAACGTAGGTAGAAACGAGAAACGGAAACAAAACTATGAAACAGCCCCAATGCCGCAGTGAAGCTGTGACAGGTGGGCGCCTTCCAGTCGGAAGGCCCAAGATGGCTGGGCGAGGAACCGGAGGCGGCTGCCGGAGCCCAGCTCCCCTCGCCGGGGGCCCACCCCAGGGAAGACAGGGGTCGCGGCACGCCCCCCGTACGCCACCGGTTACGTAATCCCGCTCGCCGGCAAACGTGCCGCAGGGCGGCCACCCCGCCCCTAGCCCCTCCCCCTGAAAAGCGCGGCGGCCAGTGTCGCACGTGAAGCATGCTGGGACTAGCTCTCGAGCCTCCCGGCAGCCCCTGCGACGGGCGCAGTGCGTAAGGAGCTGGCCGTCGGCGGCCGTCCTCCGTAAGATGGCGGATCGGCGGCGGCAGCGCGCTTCGCAGGACACGGAGGACGAGGAGTCTGGTGCTTCGGGCTCAGACAGCGGCGGCTCCCCGGCGCGGGGCGGCGGGAGCTGCAGCGGTAGCGCTGGAGGCGGTGGCAGTGGCTCTTTGCCTTCCCAGCGCGGAGGCCGAGCTGGGGCCCTTCATCTGCGGCGGGTGGAGAGCGGGGGGTCTAAGAGCGCCGAGGAGTCGGAATGTGTGAGTGCGCGCGGGTGGGGCGGGCCCGGGGCCGGGGTGTAGGTGGTGAGGGGAGGCTGGGAGTTGATGGTAGCTGCTGGGGCTTACAGTGTTAGAGAAGAGAGCTATCATAGTGCAGTGTGCATCCGGAGCCCCAAGGGAGGAGGAGGTGTTAGGGGTTTCTGGGAGAAGGGCAGAGGCGCTGCACGTGAAGAGCGGATGTTTATTCAGAAATTGGGGCTGGAAGTGAAGAGACCGGACCTCCCTTGGTCGCTGCTTGTTAAAGATGTACCTTTTCTCATCTCCCTGTTCACCCATTTCGTGTTGAGTCTTCAGCTCCCCGCCCTTTGGAAATCACGGAACTAACCTATGTCCTCTTTCCTTCAGGAGAGTGAAGATGGCATCGAGGGCGATGGTGAGTAGCATCGTGACAAGTTTTTTGACTGTACAGTCAGATCACCTATTTCCACCAGTTGACATCCTCTCAGACTGTTAAGGATTTGGGAGAGGGTGCCGGAAAGTGGCTCTTTGTAGCAGAGTGCCTACAAGCTTACGTTTTAGCACTATGATCTTTGGCAGATCACTCTTCGACCCTGTTTCCCATTTGTAAATGTGGACCATAATTTTATCTCTCTGATAGGTTGATGTTAGAATTGAATGAGAGTCTTAGTTTGACTTAAAAAGCAATCAGGAAATATATTTATAATAATTTATGTTGATTTTTTTTCTTTACATATTTCTGTTTTCTTTCAGCTGTTCTGTCGGATTATGAAAGTGCAGAAGACTCTGAAGTGAGTGTGATAGGTTCTTTTTTTTCTATGGCTATAGGTTGGAAATTTTTAAATATATTTTAAAAACATGGACACACACCTGTGGTTCAAAAGTACCATGACCTACTTGTTATTTCTCTTGTGCATTCTTCATTTATGCTTTTCAGAAACTGTTATAAAAGGTCTTGTTTACTTAGAGTGAGGGAAGTTTGGTGCATGCCTTTTCAGGTTTCATTATGTTAACACGGTTAATAGTTGGCTTTTCACCCTGTCCAAAGAAAATAAGGTTCTAAATAGGAGAATGAGAACATCCTGAAGCCCTTCACAGGATGACAGTTCCTTTCATGCTGTCTAGGGAATGAAACCAGCTAGTTGGATATTTTTTTCAAGTGTATCTGAAAACCTTAAAAGGGCAGGATTCTGAGTGGTTTGTATCAGAAACATCCCTGAGTTTATAGGGAGCTTTCTCCCTCTTAAGTTCAGGAGAAAATTTCCATAAGCCAAGCTTTTGTGGCCTTACTTGTTTTGGTTGAATGAACTACTAGAGATGTTATACGAATGGCTGTTTTATTTCCTGGGGTTGTTGAATATTAAGTCCTGAGTTCTGGAATTTGGGTCATGGGGTTATGGACAGGAGGAATTAGATTATGGATCAAAGGTTCATTCTATAAATTTTGTAGAACTGTTGCTACGTATTAGATTTCTATTAAGTCCTAGAGATGCAACAGTGAACACTATACTAAAATTTCTGTCTTTAGGAATGAGTTAGGAGGTCAGATAAACATGCAGACAGTCATAGGACATGGTGACAACTGCCAGGGATAGGGTTAAGTAGGGTATTAATGGCTGAGTACTGAATCCATCTTAGGCAATCAGGAAAGAATAAGTTGCAGTTAGTCAGGCCATGTTTTCGGCAGAGGGAACAACTACTGTGAAAGTCCAGACACAGGAGAGAAGACTGATTATTTGGAAAATTGAAAGTAGTTTGGTGTGGCTGGAACATTGTTGGGACAGGATGGATACCAGAAATAAAGGCAAATCAGTGAACAGGGGCCAGATATGAAGGGGTTTACTTGTTCCTTGTCTTCATTATGTACCTGCTGTGTGCAGGAGTTGTACTAGGCACTGGAATAAAAGACAGACATGGTTCTGCCCTCCTGGAATTTACATTTTGGGGGGAAACGGACAAGTAATCATGGTAATGTTTGGTAAGTGTCACACTATCAGAAGCATAGGGTGTTTCGGGAGCACATGGCAGGGGCAGCCAACTAACTGTTTGGAAATGCTTAGGGGATGCGATGTTAAAATAGAGACTTGAAGGGTGAGTGGGAGTGAGCCAGGCAGAGTATTCTAAGCAGAGGTAACACTGTCTGGGAAGAAGGTCTTGAAGGGATGGACTGTATGACAAGTTGGAGGATATGAAAAGTTTAGTGTGACTGGTGCTAAGTGATGAGTCTGAGTCCAAATCTTAAAATACCTTGTGAACCCTATTAAAATGTATTTGGATTTTATTCTAAGGAAGTGAGAAAGCATAACAGGGTTTTAAACAAGTGTGTGATAGGGATTAGACTTAAATTTTAAAGATTTGTCAGATCCAAAGAACACCTGCATCAGAAAATCCAATTGGCCAGTTCTGTTGAAATAAGATCTTGCAGAGGGAGGGAAGACTCAGACATTTATATGTTAACAAGATCCCAGATTGATGTTTATGCACAGTAAAATTTGAGAATTATTACTTTATAACAGTTATTTTGTCTACAATGATAGTTGATCTGAGGGGAGCAAGATTGGAGGCAGGAAAGCTAGTTAAAGCTATTATGGAAGTCTAGGCAAGCATTAAGTGTGGCCTGGAGTGGAGTAGTAGCAGTGAAAGTAGAAGTGGACAGAATTGAAAGTTATTTAGGTTATGGAATTCACAGAATGTGGTGATTTATGAGATGCCTTATTTTCTCTGAAGTCAGTGATGAAGTTATCTACAAAAAGTAAAAGGGAGATGAGAAGTTTGGAGTGAGGAATGTTTGCAGTAGTCACTAGAGAATGGAAACCCTGGAAAGATTGTCAGGCAGTATGGAGTGTTCAGTGAGGTTTGGTGATTGTGAATTTATAGCATCTTACCATTCTTTTTTTTTTTTTTTTTTAAGATTTTTATTTATTTATTTGACAGAGAGAGACACAGTGAGAGAGGGAACACAAGCAGGGGGACTG